ATAGTTAAATAAGGTTGTGTTTTAATATTCAATCGATCTCTTTCTTGATAAATTCTTATTTTAAGAGTACAACTTTATAAGCTTGTTGTTATATTGGAAGAGGATTTTCTATTAGAATATGATGTTTTTCAATGGTAGTATATTCTAATTGTGATAAGTCGCTAACAAATACATTAGTATTAGTCTATAAGAACTATTGTAAATTCTTCTGTTATTTTTGATCCAAATGTGTATAGGAGTTAACTTTTACTGGTACTTCCTTAGGGATGTTTTGTAATAACTGCCAATATTTCTATTCCTTTTGACATAATGTATAAATATTACCTGCTTGATCAAGTTATTTATAGTACTAATATTTATTTTCAGAACCTTAGTGTTTCGCACAGATTCAGATCGATTCAAATCTAATCTAAATCTAACGAATCAGATTCAGATCAGATCTGTCAGATTTGAATCTAATTCAGATTCAGATTCAGATCTGATCTGATCCATCAGATTCAGATTCAAATTCAGATCTGATTCATCAGATCTGAATTCAACTTTTTTAAAGCTGAAAAGTTCCTTTTCAATAAAAAGAGACAAATTTTCAGACTTCTTTAGTGCCAAAAATTTGTTTCCTTTCATTGAAAAGAAACAAATTTTCAGATCTCATTTAGAACTGAAAAGTTCCTTTCATTGAAAAGGAATGAATTTTTGGAACTCTTTTAGAGCTGAAAAGTTCTTTTTATTGAAAAGAAATGAATTTTCAGAACTCTTTTAGAACTGAAATGTTTCTTTCATTGAAAAGGAATGACTTTTTAGAATTCTTTTAGAGCCAAAAATGTTTCTTTCAATAAAAAGGAATGACTTTTCAGAACTCTTTTAGAGCTAAAAAGGTTCCTTTCAATGAAAAAGAATGACTTTTCAGAACTCTTTTAGAGCTGAAAAGATTTCTTTTAATGAAAAGAAATGACTTTTCAGAATTATTTTAGAGCTAAAAAGGTTCTTTTAAATGAAAAGGAACGACTTTTCAGAACACATTTAAAGCCAAAAAGGTTTCTTTCATTGAAAAGAAACATTTTCAGATCTCTTTTAGAATTGAAAATTCGTTTTTTCAATAATACTTTCAGATTTGGATCAGATCAGATTTGGAATTAAACTGATCTGTCAGATCTGGATTTGAGATTCAATCCATCAGATTTAAATCAGATCTGGATTTCAACAGATCCATCAGATTCAGATCGAATTCAGATCCTAAAAAATGAAAATCAAATCAGATCAGATTTAAATAAAATCTGATCTGATCTGATTTTGCAGAACACTACTTCAGGTGGTTAACATCTGAATTTTTGTTTAAGACTCTCAAAATACTGTAGTGAATAAGTTTGTTTTTGAACTATTACTTGTTTGGGATTACTTTCAGCTAAGATGAGTTCTTCTTCATTATCCTTTAATATCATATAATGTTACTACATAGTTAATGTCTCATCCTCATATTCATCATTTATAGAACTTGTAAGAATAGGTGTAGGTTGTTGAAATTTATCAAATTGAGGTTTTTTCTAACAAGTTATAGGGACTTGATGTTTCTTTTAGTTTCATTAAAAAATAAATTTCTAACAGTTTCAATAAATTTGTCTATGATATTTTGTTAACCAATCATTTTAGCTACAATGTAGTAATTATTAGATTCAGTTATATCAACATTGATAGGAATTTCTATATTACCAATTTGAATTAGAATATTAGTGATTTTTTCTAATAATTACAAGTGTTCACCTTATATATTGATCATTGTGATCATCAATAGGCCTTCAATTTTTTTATCTAATTATTGCAAGAAACATTTTGACATAATACTTTCAGCAGATTCTAAATCTAAAATCAAATAAATAGGTTTGCCATCTACGAATGCATAATAGTAAACAGCTTTTATAGCTTTAAATGTATCAATTTTGTTTGAGAGATTTAAATAATGACTGGTATTCTCACCCTCTTGAAATATCCTTAATAGTTTAAAGATGAATTAGTGAAATTAGAGGTAGAGGAGTTATTAGTCATAAAAGTATTAGCAAAAGGAAACATTATTGAAGGTTGTAAGGAAAGAGGTAGTAAAAATGAATTTAGAGTATTATACATAGAACTCCTTTGAGATAATGCAACTTATTAACCTGTTTGATCAAATTATGGTTATCCATTATTAAAAGTTAGCACTGATCTAGTTGGACATAAATTTCCTTAGTATCTAAACTGACGATAATGTGGGTAGGATCCATTGGGTAGTATATTATAATTTTTGATTATGTGTTCTCTTTATTAGCAAGTAAAGCATCTGTTTCATTTTGATAAGTGTTATTTCTATTCTGTTAGAAGTTATTTCGATTGTCACCTTGGTTATTTTGTATTCTACAATTCTTGGCAATATATTCAGGTCAATTGTAATTGTAGCATACTTGATTACTACTATTATTACTATTTTTCTAATTATTATTATTGTGTACAAGATAACTATTATTATTAGTATGTGATTAGTTGTAGTAGTAGTTAACAATTGTTTAAATTCCTTCATCAATTTTTCGTTGTTTTCCTTAATCAACTACTGCATATTGGGGCTTTTTTCTATTCAGTTTCCTTATAATATTAGTTCAAGTAGGTTTTACTGAGAGAATATCTTAAGAGAACACTATCTTTAGAGAGAATAGCTTTAATAGTTCAAGCTTAGTCAATTGTTTTCTCTAAATCACGAGGTGCAGTAGCAGCTACTGCAGTTAAAAATTTAGGTCAAAGTCCTTACAAGAATTGTTTAATTTTCTCATTCTCTGGTATATTATAATCAGGGTCAAGTTTGAGATATAATGATTCAATATCAGTGGAATAGTTCTCAACAGATTGTTTAAGGCATTGTTTATATTGTTTAAGTGCAAAATGCTATTGTATCTTTTGGTAAGTTGTATAATAATTTTTTAAAAAGTGATAGATGAAAAACTTATGTTTATGTTGTTGATCACTGGAATTATTCTAGTATCACAAATCTTTTTTGTTTTTAGTTTTATTGTACCAAGTAAGGGCTGATTCTTTCAGAAAGAAAGAAACTAATGTAAAATGTCACTTATCAGAGATTTCATTCGCATCCCTAATATGATTATACCTTTTCAACCATTCCTTAGGGTCTTGATCTCTATCCTTAAAGGTTAGTAAGTTCATGAATTTAGCCTCTCGTGATCTACCAAATCCAATAATTTTAAAGACAGTTTGAAGACCTTTCATTATTTAAAAGAAATTTCATTTGTCTTGGTCCTTAGAATTATCTGTGTCAAAAGGATCTTTATTATCATTATCTGAGTCATTATTTTTAGAGTTAGAACTAGAGAAAAATGAAGAACTATTATAGTAGAAAGGAGAGTGACAGCTTTTCTTTTTGTTAATTTCTTTACCTTTAAACTTTGTATCTTGACCTTGTAAATAACTGATTTTATATTTTGAGGAACGCAAGAGACTAGTATCCTTTTGGTCTGAAGTTACTTCTTCTTCATCAGAAGATCCTGCGAAGATCAGTTTTAGTGATTTTCCTATCCTACTGTGAGAGCTAAAAGTTGATTCATTAAAACCTAAAGTTTGTTTACCAGTATCTTTTTCGCTAGGAGTAGTATTAGTGATTATGGTCTCTTCAGGTAGATAATTTCCTTGAAAAGAGGAGAGATTTCTTCAGCTAATTTAGAATTATTACTATTTTTGAGAATAGTTGTTCTAGAAGGTCCAGTCATTCTGAAAGGAAAAGAGTTACAGTTTGGATTTATGAGTGATATATTGAGGTAGATGAGTAAGTCACTTTGAAATTTCTTTTGGAAGAAATCAGTTTCAGTTTGAGCTCAAATACAATATATAACTGCTTACTCAAAGGTTAGTATTAGTAGATTTTTATATCTAAGGGTATTAAGTGTCTATCTATAATATACTCCTGTATACCAGCAATTTCTGCAGCAATTGTAATTTGAAAAGCTTCTAAACTCTAGCTAATATATAATGATGCTTCTAAAACTTTTTTGTGCCTACTCAAAGAAATTAAAAAAAGGTTGTAAAATCTCTTTAGGAGGTGGATTACAAGTAATACAAGATAGGTTGTCTGTTAAAGAGAAATTGTCAGTAAATTTTCTAAAGTTACATTCTTATCTATTATGTATAACTGAATGGTTTTGTTGGTATTTTATCAATTCTTTAAAGTTATTTATAGAGTATTTCTTATAGTACTACATAAACAAGAAAGAGGGTCCTATTGTCATTACTAAATATTAATATGTAATCTTTGTGAATTATGACAGTTAGACGGGATATTTGAGTGGTGATTCTTTTAAATTTACATAGTAATTCAATTCAGTTTAGCTCAAGCTTTTATAATTTATATGGTAGTGTTCTCTCAACAATACTAAAAGTGAGACAGCTCAATTGATTTTAAAGTTATAACAATATGTTTATTCATGATAAAAAATAATAAAGAAATAAGAAAATAAGAAAAGAAGAAAGAAAATAAAGAAAACTAAAAGACTAAAAGTACCAAGTATGAGAGTTGGGCCAGATGTCTCTAAAAATACTACTAAATATATATCTAAAAGCAAACTAAAGAGAAAACTAAAAGCAAACTAAAGTTTATATGATTTTATCATTCCCTATTTATATTAAATTTAATATATTAATAGATATAATAAATAAATCAAATATGTCTAATATATTAAATATATCTAATATGTCTGATATATCAATTATATCAGATATATCAAATATATTCTACTGTAAATGGTTGACTAAAGTACTCCTGAGTATTGTACCCTTCTGACATTTTTAGTAACAAAAATGTATTATATTCTAAATACAAAACACTATAGTTTTAAATTTTATTTTTAAAAAAATGTATCATACTCAGGGATACAATAGTTCAATTAAAAAATTTATTTAGATATAAAATTTGATTTATTTGATATATGTAAAAATTAATACAAAAAAAAATTCAAAAAAAAAAACTAATTCTAAACATTTTCATAATTTGGTAGTTCTTCATCATATCCATTAAACTCTAAATCTTCTAATGGCAAATCATTTTCAAGTTCATTATCTGACTCACAAATTTTTACTTCATCTTCATGATAAATATTATTTCCTCCATTATTTTTTTTTTTTATTTTTTTTAGTTAAAGAGTCATAATCAAATAATAAATGATTCTCACTTTCATCCTTAACTACTGATATTCTATAACATTTGAATGATTTGCAAATTAAAACAGTATCAACATCATTTCATGAGTCCATAACCCATTTAGCAATTGTAGAATAGGATGGTTTTTTATTATGTTCTGCTGGTGTTAATTGATGCATTTCTGAAGTCATCTAATCTTGATAGTATTGTCTCAATTTAGATTTAAAACTTTTATTAATAAAGACATCTAATAGTTGAAGCTTATTAGTTAAACTGCCTAAAATTACTGCTATATTTGTTTGTTTTTCAACAAATCTATTTTTAACAGAATTAACTAAATGCTCTCTAAAAGTATCTAAAACTAGAAGAGATCGAGGGTTACCTAATGGATTATGTTGATTCTATACATTTTCAATCCACTATAACATTTTATTTTTCATTCATCCATCCTTTTTCATTTACATGAATATTAATATCTTGAGGAAATTGTTCTTTTGAAATATTTTTCAATTTAAAAATACAAGTAGCTGAAAGTTTAGTACCATCAGCCAAACATGATAAAATAATAGTAAAATGAGTTTTTTCATGACCAGTTATATGAATAGTCACTGTTAAAGTACCACGTTGATCCAATATTATATTTGAAGGTAAATCAAAAGTAACTGGAGTCTCATCTATATTACTAATATATTTTAAAGGATAATCATATTGAATTCTTCAATATAAAATAAAATTAAGAAAACTTTGTTATTTTTGTAAAATATTATCTGAAAGATGTTGTGAAATATACGTTCATCAACATGTTGCAAAATTAAATCTTTTCATAAAACCTTCTAACCATGCATTTAAAAATTTAAAATTATTAATATTTGGATAAAGATTAAGATAATCTTTAGCTATAGATTTAGCCTTTTGAACAACTATATTTCATATAATAGCTTTTGCTGCTTGATGCATATCTGTTACCCATAAAGACAAACTTCTTTCAAGTTTTGGAAGATATGCTTCCCTTCCTCTATGCAGTTTTTGAATATAAGGAGCTGCATTTTCTAATTGATTTTTTTGGTTTTTCTAATATCGTATTTGTTTAGGTTCAACATCAAATTTTTTAGCTGCTAACCTATTACTTTCATATTGTTCAGCATAATGGATAATAAGTAACTTCTCTCTTGTACACCACTGTTTTTTTTTCTTTAGAGTAATACAGAATTTTTTGTAAAAATGTTTACTACGATGTACTACCATTTTACTTTTAAGAAAAAGAGTTTGTGTCAAAGTTTTTTAAAAGAATGTGTTAGAAAAAAAACTATAAAATTAATTTATTATATGTTACATTCTGATCTAATCTTGATTTCAATCTTAAAACTTATAATCAGAATTTTCTGATCACATCCTCTCAAAAAGCAGCATCCGATTCTACTAGAGTTCATCAGTAATATTAAATTTTTTTTTTTAAATTACTCATCAGCTTATTTTATTAGATTAGTTAAGAAAAACTATCAGGTTTAGCTATTTTAAACGATTCAAATTTTGTTAATTAAAAAGGAAAATAAGATTTAAAAAAAAAAAATTTAAATTTTCAAAATGATAAAAAAAGAAAAAATTTAAATTTTCAAATCAAAATGGTGTCAAAAAACTTTTGATAAATTTTTGATGCACAAAAATTTGTCATATTTTTATTAGTTTTGGTAAATATGCTTATACTTCTCCCTTGATTAAAGTACTCCCTATAATATTGTATTCCCAAAATTTGAGAATTTGTATCGTATTCAGGGTATTTTAGTCGACCGTTTACGGTATAATTCAAATATATCTGATATGTTTAACATTTAGATTTGCAATATATTGTGTCACATTCATCAATCCAATTCAGTTATATCACTAAATATTTAATGAAATATGTATTTGTAAAATGAATAATTTAATAGTATACAGTATTTTAAAGAATTACATAGACCAAAAAAATTATTAGATTTAAAAATTTCAGAAAAAAATATAGTAGGCAATGGATTAAAAACTTATTTGAATATATAATAGATAATAGTATATAAATATTAGAATCAATTTCTCAATTAGAAATTTATTTTAAAGAAGTTATTAATGAAAATTCTAACATTATTATAAGTAAAGCTGTTAAAATAAATATTAATTGAAAAAAGATTTTTTAATGATGTTTATGATTTGGCCAATGTTATGAAACCTATTAAAAAAGCTATTCTTACTCTTAAAAGTAAAGTAATCCTAACTGATTGTTATTTCTTCTTAACATATCTTGATCAATCAATTAATAAAATATCTGAAAAAGATTACATGATATTTCATCAGCATGCAATAAAGATTTTTAATAAATATTTTATATTGTATGACTTTAATAAATATCTCTTAGCATATTATATTTATCTTATATATAAAAGTATAAAATTTGACATTTAAATTTATTTAATACAATAATACAAATTTTTTAATTATTAATTTTATTAATAAATAGACATTAGTATAAAAGAAGTACATTATCAAAGAATTTAAAATACAGTTGTATGTATTTAGCAACAAATATTAAAATTTCTGATATTGCTACTTAATCTTAAAAAATCTAACCATTCAAAAAAATAGTTTGCAGAAATTCTTTTAGCATAATTTCATCTTCAAGTAAAACTATACAAATTACCATATGATTCTCAAGTAAATACTTCTCTTAGCTAGTGAAAAATATATAAATCTACTTTACCTTATATATAATTACTTGCAAAAAAAAATATTTTTTATTATTCCTTATGCAGTTAATTATAAACGAATTTGATCAATTTGTAAATGGATGATTAGAAAAAGGAGAACATAATTATCAGTAAAAAATTTAGAGACTATATCAAAAATCCATTTATATTATATTACTAATAGTAAATCTAAAATAAATAATTATGGTAAAGATCAAACAACTGATAAAATTTGTATTACTTTAAATGATATTCATTATTATATTAAAGAATATAAAATTAAAAAATATAATAAGAAGTAAATGAAAGAAATAATCATAATACATTCATCTGATGATGATAAGCAAATTCTATTTTAAGAATTAGAGATTTTAAAAATACTTGATTTAGAATTAATGTTTGGAAATAAGTCAGTAAAGAATAAATAATTAAAAATTAATGAACTTGATAAATTTATTCAAAATTGAATAAGGAAAAAGATTTGGATTTGGATTTATTAGTTTAAGGTTTTATTAATAATTAATTAGTTAATTTGTATTTGATTAATATAATTAATAATATAATAAAATTATATTAATAATTATATAATAAATTTATAAAATAATAAAATAAGTTTTAGCATATTTCAGTTTATAAGTTTCGAAATTAAGTTTCAGGTTTAAGGTCTCAGAAAATAAATACACTTTCAAAATTAGATTTCGTTATATATCAAAACCTAAAGAGTTTCAGGAGGTTTCAATTTTAATACCTATATTTAATTTTAACATAATAATAGTTATTTAACAAAAATTATCTATAAATTACTTTTTAGTATTCAATATCATATTAGACCCTTTTTATTAAATGTAATATATTTATATATCTAAGGTCAATGTATAAAATTTAAACCAAAAATTATATATATAAGTTGTACTAAAAATAGAAAATTAATGCATGTATTACATAGTATTTCTATTTTTATAAATAATTATCTATTTTAGTAATTATTTATGCATATTTTATATTATATAATATGTGCACAAAAAAATTTAATATATATAAATGCATATTATGCACATAAATTTTATATACTGTCTAAAGTGTATCTTTTAACACAAATTATTTTCAACAATCTGTAAACTTACTTACTTTTCTAAGGATATATATTGAAATCTTAATTCAAAAACTAGTAGAACTTCAAGAAGATCAATGATTATTCAGATAAATAATTATTTTACTAATTTTGTCTATAACTAGCTTATCTAATATACTACCTATCACACTTCATCTGAAATCATGACTGCAATAAGAGCTAAAATAAGAATTCTTTTTTAAGAAATTTTTAAAAATAATGAAACATTTTGATAGAAATTAGTGACTGACTCAGACTTACTTAAAGAGAAAAAATCTATAATTAGAATTGATTATTTCTCAGTAGTAGAAAATAAAGATAGGACCCCAAATAATATATGTATATGTTAGATTTGAGATTGTTTATTGAACATAGAAAATTTTTGATTAAGTCACCTAAAATTTTATATAGCAAATAACAAAATTTTTATATAGTTAGATATGTATTTGTATAGCAGAGATAAAAATTATCAAACTCAGTAATTAGTTTGCATAGCAGAAACATATTTTTTGAAATATGTGTGATGTTAAATATAATCCAAAAAAGATAATTATACCTCTTAAATTAAGACACGTAAATAAAATCAACACGTAATTTTTAAATTAATTTAATATGTGATGGTGTAACAAAACTTTGATCTATTTTTATATGTGATTATTATTTTATTATTTTTCTTTTGCTTTTTTTGTAAAAAATTTGTATGCGAAATAATTTAATTTGATGATTAATTACAGTTGCATAATTAATTACAGTTGTACGTAGAGTTCCGAAAATGATTCGCATAAACTCGCATATTTGACTCGCATGATTGTGCATAATTGTAAATTTTAGTTACACATAATAAATAAGTACTT